TTCTATTACTTCCCACGTATGATCGAATGTGCATCGAGGACAGTCGACGGGAGACTGTGCTGTTTAAAAATAAAATTACTTTCAAGTTAACCCGTCAAGTCCTATAAAACTTGGCTCGTAAAATAGAGAAATAAAGACAAAGTTTATGTCCCTTCTCTAACGAAATGGGTTTGTCCGCGTTTATCGATAGTACTTATTATAATATCGTATGAGGATATTCCATTTGCATACAAATTTGGAAGGAACTCGACCATTTTAACACAAGTCCTAGAGCGCTTTATTCGTGAGTTGAAAAATATGTACAGTTTTTCTTGTTTCGAACCCAATAAAGTACAGTTCAGGTACGATTTCAGATCTATAGAGTGGCCCAAGTACACAAAAAAATAAAAAAACATCATAGTACAAAAACAACACCTTGTCGGCGACGCTGTGAAGCTAAACTTACATTTTACAAGTACATTATATGTGTAACGAAATAATATCAAACGTATGAAATACATTTGTGTGCGAGATCGACAAATCCTTGAGGCTTCGTCTTATCCGTGAGTTATTATTAATCGATGTCGGCCTTGGCGGTAAATAGGAATGTATAAGAAAATTAAAAAAAAAAATCACCCGAATATTGGTCTGGGCCGTGTTTGTACAGCTGTAACCGGTCAACACTTCCTTCTGTACGGTTTTGCACACATCCTACTTGCCAAACACAATATGTTGTTGTTATGTCGTTTGAAACATCAAAGTCGGTTATCGAATCGAGTTAAAACGCAATATTAATGTATCTATTTGCATTTATAGTCTTAATGCGTACAATTGTCGATTATTCATTATGTACCTACAGGTATTCCAAATAGCAGGTATCCAATCTCACCTTTCATCTATATTGTATTTTAATGTTATATAAATGCGCATGTCATAATATTATTTCGTTTGGGAAAGTCGAGAATTGAATTAACCTGAACTGAATAGAAAAGGCAATATAGAAATCTAGTAAGTGACAGCACACAATAAGCTATCAATTTTCCAAGTGGGAGTTCTCAAACTAGATTTGTTCAAACAATTTTTTTAACTAAGCAATTTTTTTTTTTTTTTAAATTGCCTGTTCGATGCAATAATAATATAATACTTGGAAATCGTACAACGACCCGGTCTCATATATTATACAGGCATGAGGCCATTTTTCCTTATCTTGCATTCTATTATTCATGTCAGTCAAATTTCCTAACGGGGTAGTAAAGTGCGGTCGAAGCGCGTGCAAGAAAATAAATTTCATGTGCGATTAACTTTTTATAACCACCACCGCTCGGTCGTATCAATCACACCGTGGAATTACCGGGTTATATGAATTTTTTTTTTTAGTATGATTATCAAAGCGAAACGAATACCTAATATATTATAGTCTATCACAGAGTGAAGTATAAAGAGCTGTAAAATAATTGTCTACAACAAAGTAGCCATCAAGAAAGCGAGCGACAATGTGACCACTTTAAATAGAAATGAATACTTTTTTTTTCATAAGCTCTTGAACACCGTACATGGATATTATTCCTCGTCGATTAGATCAATAGATAAATTCGGTAAGACACTGTCGTTCAGCTAACGTGGGTCTACCTGTGACATTTAATTAGTACCAACTACATACAACAAATTAAATACTCACAGCCGGTGTCACCAACATTTGTTGAGAATTTAACTTATTGTTATTTATATTTAACGATTAGTTAGTAAAAATTCGGTTTCATCGAGACTTGTAAGCCTTAACACATTGTTAAAGCGATTGTTAAATTAATCACCAAAAATGTTAAAAAGTTAATCGGCATGTATTTTAATACTTATATATTATAATATTTATATTATTATAGTTCAGAAATTGTTTTATAATTTTTGTCGACTGAGTATACTAGTAATATATAATAATGAATTACACATTTGACGAGGAACTTCTTTATTATTATTATTGAATATTTAGAAAACAATAGAAAAGACAACTTCGAGAACTCTTTATTAGGTAAGTAGAAGTTATTTTATGTAAGTAAATTAAATAAAAAGGAATGGCATAGACTTGCATTATAGGTTCAAATATCATAATTTATTGTATTTTGTAATTAAGATAATATTATTATGTCTTGCCTGTTCTGAGTACAACAATGGAAATAATTCTTATCACTACCTACATTTTTTTTAGGCTTTCAAAATAGAAAAAAATTATTTTAATTAATCGTTAACTAACATGGTGATAAGAGTGTATTTAACAATAGTTGGTGAAACCGGCTGTCAGTGTAGAAAACCGGCATTTCTTCAATAAGGAAATAGAAAGCATAATGTCATAATTTGTAAGTTAATGTACCGGCAAAAATGCACGGTGGTAGTACACGGTTCAGAAAACTCAAATTAGGTAGCTAAATTATTTTTGACAAATAAGTAACACAAATGTTTCAATCGTATTCTATCCCCAAACATAAACCGCGTGGGTAATTTAAAAGAAAGTGATATGTTATGACTTTCAGTGGAAAAAAAAAAAGAGCTTTTTACTTAAATTTAAATGTAAACACAACACGGCGACAAGAAGATTTATTTCTTACAAAACGCCAGTAAGGTTGTGCACAATCAATCATCCTAATCGTATATTTATTTAAATACAATAAAGTGAAGTAGTTATTAATGATTGCCGTTGTGGAGCTACACAGGCGTTTTCAGGACAAGTACACACTGGTGTCAGGAACAAAATAATATAAACTACAAAACTGTTTCGGTATATTATAAATATTATTATGTGTTGAAATAACAATTGAAACTACAATAAATATTTTATTTTTTCCCCGAGTCCGATGCCCTTGTATTGATAAAAAAAATCCCAACTAATTCAGAGGTCAACCCCAACACTAAACCCCAATAATAAAGCGGTGGCGAACTCATAGTATTATTTTCTCGTTTAAATGGTAAAAAACCACTATTAATTTGTGTATTTATCAAGTGCAGTGTCAAGTGAGGTAAAGAGTGAAAAACGGATTAAAATATAAACGCAAACTTTGGGTCTAAAAGAGCGAATATCACTTTTTACAACTTTGCTTTGTCTTTAAACTTTAAAAAATGTTCTTTTTAAACTTATTCAAATATTTTCTTCGTAGGAGTAGGTACCCTTTTAACGAGATTATCAAGTATATAAAAAAAAATGTATTTACATTTGCCAGCATTAAATACCATTATTGTTACCTCCGCCAGGCTACAAACCTGAGTTTTTTTTTTTGAAAAAAATTAAAATTAAAAATACCAAGTAATAGTTTGCAAATGGTGAGTGTTGTTTGAAATATTTGTATTTGTATAACTTGAAAAATTTTTTTATATAATTACATTTTTATTAGATAATACGTTGATAACAATGATTTTAACAATTTGTTATTTATTTTTGATGTAACTAAATGAAACACAGAAACTGAAGTTTAAGAGTCAAAGACAAACAAATACTTTTATTTAAGTGAAAATGTTATGTGGTTTAAAACGTGTTTTAGCTCCGTCCCTACTATTCGACGACTCCACTGTGTTGGATATTTTGTACACTGTGTCTGAACTATTTTCCACTGTGTTACATTTTTTAATCTTCCAAGGATACAAACCGTGATCGTCCTACGTCTTGGGTTTCGCGTTAGGTCTTAGATTTCCGGAATCGCCCAGGCGGATAACGACGGCAATATGCCTAATGGGAATGGACCTCTGTAAACTGGTTTCACTCCCACCCAGCACACTATCCAATGACTCAGTGGAACTGGCCCGGTTTCCCGTTTGAACCTCTACAGGGTGATTCATTAATATCGGTTTTGAAAATCTTATACAGTTGAGCGGTGCCGTACACAATAACGGCAACCGGTTTTGTGCGGGATTCCCGCCGTCAACAGAGGTACCCTAGTCATAGTTTACCGCCCGCCCGTCCATTGGCTATGGCGAGGGTACCTCTGCTGACGGCGGGAATCCCGCAAAAAACCGGTCGCCGTTTTTGTGTATGGCGTTGCTCACCTACTCGAAAATTTCCAAGCGTTAACACAGTAAAGAGACATCTATTTTGATATGAAATATTGTTTTTGTTTCTCTAATTTTTTTAACGCGTACAGACTATTTCTGTACAAAGGCTTAACTGACTGTACGTTTTTAAAAACACTCCGGATTAAGATTTAAAATTAAAAACATTTGGATTATTCATAACATCCTACATAAGGTGTCGACCGAGGGGCGATTTTTACAATTATTTTTAGTTAAATAGTAATTTCGATTTGAAAAGTGGCAATTTTTATTTATGGTTTTACAATAATTCAAAAAAGAAAACTAATAAAATATGTACGTTGATCGATACATTATGCAAATGTTGATAAATCCATATGTTTTTAAAACTATTGTCGGATAGAGTGTTGTCAAAATTGTAATCAGTTGTTCTCTATCAAAAATACACAGATTAAGAACCCTTTAAGAATAAGACACTAATTTTCTTTTACAATAATTGAAATTTTTTAGCATGCCCAGACAACATTTTTGGTAATTTATTCTCGAATGTGTTGCAGCTGTCATGAGTGAAATATTATTGACTTGGTAGTGATCTTCGGATGTACTCCTGTCCAAGATTATCAAGTCAATAATAATCTGTTTTTAATTTAAAAGGATAATAAAAATATATGAGCTACCATTCGAGTTTCAAGAGATGATAGAACTCTAGTAGAATTTCCTGAGAAAAGATTTGAATATTATTTATTGCTTTTTGAGTAATTATCATCAAAGCTGCATTACTCAACCGCACAAAGTGAGTCTAAATATTGTAAGATAACAATATTATATTAAACAAAACCGTTTTCAAAAAGGAAAACTACAAAAATGCAATAATTATTCTAAGAAAAACATAATGTCCCGTCCCTAATGATTCACTCTGTACACTTTGGACACAATACCATGTACTGTACAATATATTCATATATCATTAATAATACATGGGCCACAACATAGTGGGGGAAGTGCATACCTTAAATATAACCGGCACGCTAGCACCGGCCACAATATTATTACACTCGAGCAGTCGACACAAGCAGTGTTTTCCATTCAGTCAATAGAAGCACATTATATTCAACAACACAGTCAGGTAAATACAAAAAAAAAATGCTATACTTAAACGCGTGAGGGGGTCAAGTGGTCTAATTGAAAAACCAACGGGGCAAAGGTAAATGCAATTTTCAGTCATGAGTTAAAGTTAAAAATTATCAATTTATTTAATTAAAAAAAAATACCGTGTATACATATTATGCACCCGTTCGTTTACAATTCAGTCCAGTGTTGATTTTCAAGTAGATTTTTGTTTTGTTTTGTTTCAATTAGTTTAGTTAAACAATTAAATAATTATTATCACTGTTTATCCGGTAAACTGTATAGGTCAAAACAAAAATCAATACCTTCTAACAGCTATCGCATAGAAGTTAAAATAATGTTGGTAAAGGTTTTCACAGTGTAAAAAGTGAAAGGATAATAGAAGCCGGTTCAAGGTGCCACATTGTTTCGGTCCGTTAAAATTATAATGTTATGTCATTTTACCATGACTTAGTTTTGTCAGTATTTTATTTTCCCATCAAACCACTAAAAAAACACCGTAAAAACAACCTCTGATTAAATTCAACCTCGGCATACTAATAATATGTTCTTGTTAAAAACACTGTACACTAACAGAAATTCACGTGGGAAATAGATATATGATAATTAAAACGGGTTATGAAAATCTACAAATCAATATTTTATAAAAAATGTCGGAATAAAACCAGGGCAGGTATGCCAAACGGGTTAATTAAATTAATGTTGGTTTTATTTTTCATTTTATTTACAGTGTAGAGTTTATAGAACTATTATTTGTAAAACAAACAACAGTTTTAGTGAAATTGGTTGACAAAAAATCGTATTCGAACAAAAATAAAAGTTATCAAGCAGCGACAATAATAATAATAATATTGTTATCGGTGTTTAGTATTGTATTAAAACGTTATTAATTAACACTTTAGTACAGATGAGCAAGAAACGCATATTGTGTTTCATATAATATTATTACAGTTTATCGCGGGTCAGTTGGTATAAAACTGTAACACAGTAGAGAGCAAGTTCGGTCTGGGATAGTCTGTACACATTGTACTTGCACTTGCGATGTAGATATTCGAAAACCGGTTTATAGTGGATGGAATGTGAACTCACACAATTTGCAGTGGACTTAACTTATGGTGCACATTTAAACTAATTTTACACATTTTACCTGTACAAAGTATATATTTTGTTTATTACAAAATTATCTAACAAACAAAAATTGTTACATAAAAAATACAATCTTTCGATTATTGTTTTAAAACTTTTAATTATTAAACGACTTGTTAGATATTATTTCAAGCTCAACTCTGATGTGTGGAGATACAATTTCTTACATTCAATACAACTTAAAAAACAGAGCCAAGTAAAATATAGTTTGTCGACTATTTTATCAAAAAAAAAACATCCTATTTATCCCATTTGTTTACAGTCACCAATTATTTTACTAAGCTCTATAGAGATTTAGTTGGAAATATAATATGTATTAATTGATTGTTTTTTCAATATTGAAAAATGGTAATGTTTAGAATATTAACAACTAATACAGTCAAGGTCGAAATAATTGGATATCATTGTAGTCAATGTTGGGTGTTGGATAATTATTATGATTATTAAACTCACAAGCAAATCGGTATAGAACAATTTTATAAAATTTTCTACGGTCTAAAACATGTTCTTTAATTATTTTTCTCAAATAAGAATTTTACTCTAACCATAAGGAATGATTATCAGAAAGTCTGTCTTTTTTTTTAAAATCTATTTTTTTTTTTTTAAGAAAAACTATTTTTGTTACCTAAATTATATTGTAACATCGGCTAATCCGTGTGTTTAGAATGACGGTCGATTTTTACTACACCCCGGGCAGCCCACCGTGCAGAGCTGTTTTGCTCGCAGCCAAAGCCATCGGTCTGGAGTTGAACTTGAAACCCTTGGATCTCCATCACGGCGAACACTTGAAACCGGAATTCGTCAAGGTAACGCCATACAATTTATTAATATCGGTTTTACTGTTTCTAAATAATATTATCATTAATAATAATCGGGTAAACAAGTCGGCGTATGCTTGGATAATTGTTGCGAACAATAATTATAGTGATTAATAAAACCGCGTTTGGTCGTTTGTGTTTTAGATAAATCCCCAGCACTGTGTTCCCACTTTGGTCGACGGCGATCTAGTACTTTGGGAAAGGTAAGTTTCAGTTATGATAATTAATTCCACCAGACTAAAATATAAAATAATTATTCAACGTGTTATCTGCCACTGTTATACACACATAGGAAGTTGTGTAGATAATTTGTTATTTTTTATTCATAAACTGTGTCAAAAAGCCTATTTTCGAAGCCAATAAAAAAAACCTATAATGAGATTGTGATGACGGTTTCCTATTCCTCGTGTGCGTTTCATGTAGATTTGGTAATTTTATATTGTATTATATTATACAGAGAATATTATTTATATTGCCCGCGTTACAAGGCTAAATTACATTGAACGAATCGTTATTGCCGGGTGTGGCATGTCAAACGCACATACAGAGTACATTAAATATTAAAATAACCACAAAACTAAAAAATCAATTTGTACTGAATATCGGTCAGAGTATCTAAACACAGTGTAGACGACCCAAGGGTACACGATTACCGCGTTGTAACTATTATAGTGTTTTTTTATTGTGTTATTTTTACTTTTGCAGTCGTGCCATCATCGTGTACTTGGTACAGAAATACGGCAAAGACGATTCGCTGTACCCCAAAGACCCCAAGAAGCAAGCGTTGGTCAACCAGAGATTGTACTTTGACATTGGCACCTTGTACGCGGCCTTTGCCGACCAATACGTAAGTCCTGTGGTCTAGAACTGCCTTTATCGAGGTCCCTAATCAGTTAAAAGGGATGGAGCTGAAGCCCCGTGGTGTATATGATACAAAGGGGGTGGGGGGGGGGGGGTATCGAACATTTGGTGATTTGTATGCAGTTTAAAAATGTTTAGCAGAAAATTATTTTAAAAAAGTCTGTTAACAAATCTTTTATTAGTCGGACAAATTTCTGATCAAATGGTACTCTAAAAATATAATGTTCAAAATTTCACTACTCGCTACTAAAAACATTAAATAATATGCTTTAAAACACAATTATTTAGTTAAAGAATAAAACAATATTGGTTTTTTTAACTGATGTTATTTGCCAGAAAATATGTTTAAATAAATTGGTTATTTTTTTATGATTATAATCTTTAACTAGTTTTCATTCAATTTGCGAGGGAGGGAGGGGGTGCTGAACAGATTTCTTCGTGTAGCAACACTGTAGATCCGGAAACATACCTAAAAATTACAAAATCGAGGAAAACACCCAAAAAAATGTACATATTTTTCAACTTGTTGTTTCAAATTTGCATGGAATATTCTTAAGATAAAGTGCTATCGACAAACGTGGTCAATCCAAAAAAAAAAATGGATGTAGTGTTAGGACTGAAGGTCTGAATATTAGACTGAAGTTCATAATCCCTGTAGACCCGTGACAGTGCCCCGGTCCCACTGTACTGGATTTTATTTTTTATATTATTATTAATCAAATAATCACCGGTTGTGTTGTATGTTATACAGTATCCGTACATTTTCGCCGGTGTGCCCAAAACCGACGACAAAGAAAAGAAGATAGCCGAGGCCTTGCTGTTGTTGGACACTTATTACTTGAGCGGTACCGCGTGGGCGGCCGGCGATTCCATCACGCTCGCCGACTTAAGTTTGGCGGCTTCCGTGTCCACGATCGAGGTGGGTTGCTTCTTAAAAAAAAAACGCCTTTGAGCTATTTGCATAAAAATAATATATATATATATATATTTCAATATTAATCAATTTGTCTTGTCATAGGCCGTGGACTTTGATCTGTCGCCGTTCCCGAACGTGTCCAAGTGGCTGTCGAAGGCCAAGACCACGTTGCCGGGTTACCAGGAGCTAAACCAAAAGGGAATCGATGGGTTCAAAATCATGGTGGCCAACCTCACTAAGAAATAATAGCAATAACGTTTTTATTTTGTTTTTTTATTTCACCACTACAATAACGTTTAATTTACGAAAACACCATTATACGCATATTTTTATGATATTTATTTTTGCACGTTGGCAATCGCATGATGTAACATCGTATGTATGTATATTTTTTTTTTTACAAATATTTATTTATAGAAATACCGAATACACGATCAATTTTTTAGTCGGTATATTTGTCATTTTTCTCTTTTTTTTTTAAACCCCTCAATCAATACGGTTTCGGTAATAATGTGTTTTTTTAATAATAAATACCAACGCTCATTGACCATAGGCGCGATTCTAAATTGGAGAGTGCTTAACCGTTTGAAAATGCTCTACATTTTCCTGGTATTTAAATTTAAATTAATTAGGTCAATGGTATTTTTTGTTTGAGCAAGGATGTTGTATAAGTGTCAACTTAACATTTACCACCTTACTTTCTTATCATATATTACAGGTGTTTGCTTGTTTTGTAAATTTGTCATATCTTTTTCTATACAATGTAATATTGGCAAATCTGTAAGTCTGTCCCGTCTCATTGAAACCCTAAGCTAAATCTTTATCGTTCTTGAACGTCGACAAGATGCAGAACTAATGAGAAGTGTGACAGCCACCCGAAATTGATGGAAACATAACACTGCAAATCGACTCTGCAAAAAGCTTTTGGGTTTTTTTTTTATACATTAAACACTTGCAGTAAGTCGAATCTCACCAATATATTATTTAACGACCGGACAACAGCCTGTGGCATGTGAGTGAATCGCAAAGTACACTCACGCACACTATATGCGATTACCAACAAGCCTTCAAGGTTGTTGCCTTGGTTACAGTAGTGTACAACTCGGGGCGAACGATTAGAACTGTTATAATAATACATGTATAATATTATCATGGTGAGGATTATTTTGAGAATACAAAAATCAGCCCCCGTCAAAAGGGTTAACGGGCTCAAAGTAACAGGTATAATAGCAAAATATGTTATATGAGTGGCATTTTTCCGAGAATTTTCAAGTACAATAACATTTATTCTATTTCATTTTTCTTAACTTTACATCAAAGCAAAGACCATCAGTTGTGTTATTTCAGGTTTTTTTAGCTTAAAGTTTTTTTTACCATTTACAAAAGTGGGTCGTTCGATAATAATGCCTAAGCGCGTGACATAAAATATTTTAATCTTAATATAAATCCGTTTTCGTCAACGGGGACGGGCAGGAGACTTATGAGGGCACGTGCGAGAAATAAAATGATCATTGGATTAAAACGAGCCTGTTCTATTGTGAAACCGAGAGTAATTTCCCACAGAAAAACTAGATTTATACATTTTGTGATTCAACCTTTAACCGTCTCTCACTCGTGCGACAGACGTGAGGTTTACGTTTAAATAGATTAGATACGCGGGCGAAGGGACCGTAACAAAAACCTTTTATTGAAAAAGATAATATTATTAAATATTTTCCACAGTGTCTCTTTATTTTTGTCGAAAAAATGTTACACCACATTTTCACATCCAGCCAAATAGTAAAAGGAGTTGACTTTTTTTTTTTTTTTAATTTCGAACCCACCTTAGTACCACAGGCAAAGAGTTTTTGAAGGGTACAGCCAAGTAAAACCACTTTACAGGAAATAAACTGTATAGAAAAATTAATTTCTGAATCTTTGGATTAACCTTTCATACATTTACTTATTGGAAAACTTTTAAATTTGTGTTTGAAGTTTTGTGCTCTAAAAGCTGTTTACCCAAATTTTATTTGCAAGCATATTATTCCAATAAAAACACATCATTATAAAATCCATACCAAACGATTTTTATTACTTTTTTTTTTTTTGATTATTCATCAATCAAAATACACCTAGAAAATGGCCAAAATGCCATGTTTTTCTGATAGGTTTAACAAACAGCTTAGCAATGACAATTAGAATGTAATTATTTGGGAATCGTATAGGCTTGTCAAGAAACGATTTAAAATTGAAGCCTTAAGAGTTTTACTAAAGAAACGGTTGTTTTTTAATATAATTTTAACCGCTCTCTTAGATAGCAGACTTGTTGTACTTTAAGTTATGAAACTGTTTTAAAAATGTACTCCGACTTGCTGATTTTAAGAAAAAACAACATTTTTAACAACACCGAGGAATAATAAAATGATCTCATAGCTTTTTATTGAATTTAAATAGGAAATCATCATTTCAAACAGTGGAATGATATGTCAATTGCCAAAAATCAGTTTCCAGACTATTTTGTATGTAAGTGATAACTTGAAGAAGTAATTTCATGCATAGACACTATAGCCGCTTGTGTCGACTCCGGCCTTATGTAATTATACCATTTAACAACATGTACTATATATTATGAAAAAAAAGAAGCTAAAATATTTTAGGACTTATCGAAATATGAATTTGAATTTTTTTTTAACCTTATATAATTAATTTATCTAGCTAGTTATGCAACACATAAATAAAGTCTGTAAAACAAATACAACTCTATTTAGTTTATTTTCAGCTACTGACAGTTCAATAGTGAATTTAAAACCGTGCACCGACGACTTCTCAGTTAGAAAAAATTATTGCAAAATGTCTATAGATTTCTACTACGATACTTGGAGTCCACCGTGCAGAACAGTGCAGTTGGTGGCAAACATTTTGAATGTCAAACTTAACCCCATATTGATCGTACCCGGCAAGGGAGATACGCAAAAAGCGGAATACAAACAGGTAGACTAGAGTGTTGGATAAAGTAAAAAAATCTATAATATTTTTTTAAATAAAAACCCTAATGAAATATATGTTTAGTTGAACCCTCAACACACCATACCGACTATTGTGGACAACGGGTTCGTTTTGAGTGAAAGGTAATAATAATTAAGCTGATGTTGTTCGATTCTGTTTATTAGTTCAAAAAGTGAAAATAAAATTATATATTTTAAAAAAACATTTATATTAAACTTTGTAGGTTTAATTATTTATTTATGTTTATTATTAGTTGACACTAAAGTTGTTTAATGAAAATGTTGTCAAATTTCAGCCGAGCTATCTGCAAATATCTCACCGAAAAATATGGCGTCAAACCCAAAATCGGTTTTACCAAAGATCAACTTTACCCAAAAGACCTTCAACGCAGAGCTACCGTCGACCAACGGATGGATTTCGACTTAGGAGCTCTCTACCGAAGGGTTTCCGAGTATTTTGTAAGTAAAATCCATCATAAAACCAATTTATTGTTTATAATTATTATTACAACACTTGCTGCACCGGGTTTAGTAACAATAAAATAGTTTATCGCCCCGAATAACAAACACTATATCGTGTAATAATAACTAAAACATAACAAGTTTTTTTAGCTGTAGTTTAGTTGTTTAAAAATTTAGCACCGAATGACTGTTTATTGTTCACAGTATAAACGACATAACGTTGAACGTAAATAATATAATTTAAAAAGGTTAAAAATATGCTAAGAAAAGCAAAAAAGAAAAAAAAAATATGTTGCTGCGTTATTTATTCGATAATAATTATAATTATTAAAATCTCGCTTTGGCGAAACTTTTAATTAACATTAATATTTTCCTTTAAAAGTTTTTAAGTAGATTGTGTTTAATTAAAAAAAAACCTTTTAACTTTATGGCCTCCAAGTTAATATCAGCTTGAAAAGTGGTTCGATATAAAAGTATTATTGATTACAATATTATGGCAAATTGTAATAATAGCTGACTGATATTTGACTGATTTGTAAACTACTCAAAGACTTTACTAATATTACATTATCTTGAAATTATTGTTCACACAACGTTAAAAAACGTCTACAGCTGCTTTTGGCAATGCTACAGCTGTTGTCCGTTCATAAAAAAATAGATCTAAAATTTCTACTTTTTATTCTCTGCTAAACTCGGGTGTATCTATATATTATTATGTTTTCTATTATTTGATAGGGTCTTCGTTTAAATGTTGAAAAAGGGTCGAAACTCGAATGCCTTTTATATGTGGCTTGCTTTGCAATACTTATTATATCCTACTTAGAGTTACAAGTTTACCATCGTACCATGTTATATTTATATTTTGTATCTCATTTACCATACTTTTTTGATACATAATAATATAAAAATATCAAAAAAAAGACGTGCCAGTAATTCAGAATGGCCTACTTTCGGCAATACGCATTTTGAATTTTAACTATAGTTGGGATTAAAACTTGGAAATCCAAAATTGAACTCTTTGGGGAATATCCGATAAGCTATTCCGGCGATTTTTTGAAAACTTTTGCTATTAAAATGTACAATTATAACTTGAAAATTATTTTTTACTTAAATGGCATGTTACAACAAAGCGAACCCGTTTGTATACATTATAATAATAAAGTAAAAAAAAATCAATTAAAAATTCTCAATAGAGAATGAAGAAAATGAGAATTTAGCGGTAGCTGAGGTGGTTATAAGACCAAGAGGAGATTAAAAAATGATTTTTTTTTTAGTACAAGCAAACTTTCTCAAAAATCACTAATAATTTATTCATTATGAAAAATACACTAATATGAGAACTAATTGATTGTTAACTAAAGATATTTTTTTAGAACAAATAATAAATGGGAAATTGAAAATGTTGCTTATTATATCAAACGTTTTGTCGACCAATTGGAATATTTATTTTATAAAACTTAGAAATGGATTTTTTTTTAAATTTACTTAACTCCATTAATATTTCTTTTTTTGTTTTGCAAACGCTTTTATACCATTCCGATTGTAAGCCCGCTACTTTAACCAAAGCCTAAGGGCATATAGCAGTTTTTATGGGGAGTAATAAAACGATATTATTATATAATGTTATAAGTTTGTAGTTATATATGTAAAAAAAAAAAAAAATCAAAGGTCAACTCCGAGATAACTTTTTTACTGTGCAATTGCGCAACGCGTTTACAAGCGATTGACGGTAATTATATTATTCTTGTTAGAAACTGGCTAATATGATTCAACTGTGAGCACAGCTGTTGTCGTAGAATATTATACTTAGCTCTGCCATTCTCCGACGGCTTTGAAGTTTAAAAATCAACTCCAATTAGGACGGTTTTAACGGAACCCCCCTTTTGGAAAGATAATCCGTTTAATTATACTCTGTTCAGTTAAGACGTTTGGCTTAAAGCCCGGGCGATTTTTTAACACTTTGTCTTTTTTCTTTTTCTCTCCTCTGCGCAGACTCCAGTGTTTAT